ATGATGATTTAAGGTCTATTCCTTAATTAAGTACCTTAAATTATAGGAGCCTTAAGATTATGATTGAAGGTCTATTCCTTAATTAAGTACCTTAAACTCTAGGGGCCTTAAGATTATGATTGAAGGTCTATTCCTTAATTACCTTAAACTCTAGGGGCCTTAAGACTATGACTTAAGGTATCTCCCTCAATTAAGAGGTATTGGGTTCTCTCTGGGCCCTTATGACGAGGACTCCCAAATAAGGCAGTCCATGTTTTGAAATTCCTGGGGCTTCTTCCAGGTACTTAAAGGATCATGGGACTTAGTAAGTAGGGTTTAGGGTTTAGGGTTCTTACTTAAAGGATCATGGGACGTAGTAAGTAGGGTCTAGCGTTTAGGGTCCTTACTTGAAGGATCATGGGACTTCGTAAGTAGGGCTATCACTAAGGTAGCTATGCTTATAACCCAAAAAAAAAGGGGACTTATAACCATACTTACTAAGTTCCATGATCCTCCACGTAGGGTCTGCAGAGGGCTCGTGGAACCCTGAAGCCTAAACCCTGAACCCTGGACCCTAAACCCTAAACCCTAAACCCTAGACCCTAAACCCTAAACCCTGGGTGTGGGCTTCGTGTTTTCGGGTGTGTGGCTTCAGGCTTTGGGTCGAGTTTTGGGGGCCTTAATAATTAGAATAGGGTTTGAAAGGGGGGTTCCTTTAAAGGGTTCCTTTAAAGGGTTCTGTACGGGCTACTATAGGGGTTTAGGGTTTAGGGGCCTTAATAATTAGAATAGGGTTTTGGGGGCCCATTAGACTATAATTATGATAATTATGATAATAATGATAATAATAATAATAAGGAGCCGCCAAAAAAGGTATTGGTAATCATTCAAACCCCTACATTAGGGTGCAAGGAAGTTGTCGCAAATTTTATGCCGATTCTATGCACGGCAGGAAACATTTCTACAAGCCTGGTCTAAACAAACCAGAAAACCTTCGAGACGTCAAGAACCCACGAAATCCTGTGCCACTCTAGCTTCCTCTCGTGATGGCGGAATGGCACAAACCTTACGAAATCTCCTCAAGCATTATCAGCCCTTTTCTCCACGGTTGCAGGACACGAGCAAAACATAGCTGACATGACCACCCAAACACAACTCAGATAGGAATCCCCTTGAAAAATCCTAAACCGTAAATCCCTAAGCCCCTAAACCCTCTACACCGTGGCCGATGACAGCCTCCCTCGCAGCCCAGTCGCGCAACAAGGCCCGGGACATTGCGCCACACCCCTTGGGCCTCACGCCTTTGGTCTAGGGTTTAGGGTTGTTTCTTGTTTGAGCCCCTTCTTATAACCCTAAACCCTAAACCCTAAACCCTAAACCCTAAACACTAAACCCTAAACCCTAAACCCTAACCGTCCCCTTCTTATTCCAGCCCTTGCTTCCGGAATACAGTAAGGCCGCATCGGCCAGAGGAAAGGGTTTAGAGTGGAGGGCTGAAACTTTCGAGTTTGGAGTTCCCAGAGACTCCAATATTCCTTCATTAAGGAATATTCCCTAAACTATAGTAGGATCCTTAATATGATTTAAGGTATATTCCTTAATTAAGGGATATTGGAGTCTCTGGGTTTCAAGCTGAGGACTTTTCGGGTGCAGGGTACCTGCGGCTGTGGGGTTTCGGCATGGCTCTTCGGGTTTTGCGGCCGTGGGTTCTGGGAGATGAACTGGTGAGCGTCTGAAGATTGCAGTTCAGCGCTTCGGGTTGTGATGCAATGGCTTTCATTAGGTTTGTTCTTGGCTTTGCAGCAGGAATGCTGCATCTGCAATGTCGATGGGAGCTGTCTAGGGCTTGCAAAGAAACACGTCAAAGACCTCAATGATTGGGTTACGGCTGTGGCTTAGAGTATAGTCATGATCAGGAAACCAAGGACAAATCTTGGCAATTATTCCGAACCCCCATCCGCGAAGACACGAAGCGGCACGCTGAAACCTCTACACCCTGAACTCAGAACCTCAACCCACCTACCATACAACCTTAAAGTATACATCCCTCCTTAAAACCCACTCAAAGACCCGACGTTGCACAGATTCCCTAAACCCTAAACCCTAAACCCTAAACCCCTAAACCCTAAACCCTAAACCCCTAAACCCCTAAACCCTAAGCCGTCGAGCTGCTTGGTCAGCGACCACAACTGCAAGCAGAATCCGGCAGTCCGCCCTTGCGCAATGATCCGGCTCTTCTCCTCGGCTCAGATCTCGGTTTAGGGTTTAGGCTTTAGGGTTTAGGGTCTAGGGTTAAGGAATATACCTTAAATTATAGGGGCCTTGATATTATGATTTAAAGTCTATTCCTCAATTAAGTACCTTAAATTATAGGGGCCCGAATATTATGATTTAAGGTATACTCCTCAATTAAGTACCTTAAATTATAGGGGCCTTAATATTATGATTTAAGCTCTATTCCTTAATTAAGTACCTTAAATTATTGGAGCCTTAATATTATGATTTAAGGTCTGTTCCTTAATTAGGAGGTATTGGGTTCTCTGGGTTCTTGTGTTGCTTTTGGAAGGGGTTCATGTTAGGAGAACGGAGAGGGTGGATGCAAGTTCCCAGGTTGCGACGTTGGTTCGTTTCTGGTATGCCTTTACGGGTGCGGGATCCGGATTGTTTAGGGTTTAGGGTTGGGAGTTCAGGGTTGCTTAGAGCCACCCTAAACCCTAAACCCTAAACCCTAAACCCTAAACCCTAAACCCTAAACCCTCAACCCTAAACCCTAAACCCTAAAACCGTTCGTAGTGTTTGCAGAGCGGCCTTCTAAGGCGTCTACGACGGACATGGATGCGCTTCAGTGGATTTCGCGGAAAGGCTTCATAGGGGAGTTCAGGCTCAACCCTAAACCGATCTCTTGCATCGAGAGGTCTTCGTAGGCTCCAAGCCAACAGTTGCGGCTTAAGAGCCTTGTTTTTTCTAAGCTTCACGGGCTGATCAGTTGAGGCCAATACCTGCACGTCGAAACTTCTGGCAGCCCTCATCAACGCCAAGCCCCAAGCCCTAACCCTAAACCCTAAAAACCCTAGACCCTAAACCCTAAACCCTAAACCTTAGAGCCTAAGCCCTGAGAGAGGCGGGCTCCATCGACAGTATCCTCGACTCCTTCTTCGGCTTCCTCCAGCGGCCGGGGGGCCAAAAGACCGGGGGGTTGTAGGGTTTAGGGTTTAGGGTTTAGGGTTTTAGGATTAGGATCTCATCCCGTTTTGCAGGGGCTTTGCGCACGGCTTTTTATGGCGGATTGTCGACACGTGGCATCAACAAGGTTTGTCAGGCTTGGTAGGGCTTCATGATGGGTTCGTAGCTTTGTGTTTTTTTTGGGTAGGGCTTTGTGGGAGTTGAGGGAACCTTGAAACCTATAAGCCCTAAACCCTACACTTGTCTCGGGCTCTTGGTGTTGAGGGCTTCTTGTGCAGGTCCTTTGAGCCGTCACGGTGTCTAATGTACGGGCCTTAATAACTATCATAGGGTTTGGGAGGTCATTATACTATAAGTATAAGTAAGGAGCCCCCAAAAATAGTACTGGTATTTATTTTGGCTCCTATATAAGTGACTCCTCTTCAGTGCGTGGAGCCTTTACGATGTATAGCGAAGGGGCCAGATGTTTAGGGAGTTTGCATATATGAGGGACGTCGATGTCCTGAGAGCTCAACGCAGAATCAGAAGCAAGCGACCACAAGCCCCAAGATTGTACGTCCAACACTCTTCTAAGCTCCAAGCCCTACTTAGTGTAGTTGGTGACATGGTTAGGATGCCCAGAAGACTTAAACGCCAAGCCCCGAACCCTAAAACCCCAAAACCCCAAAGTTCAACGCCCAAAGCCCCACATACGGAAACCCTACTCCCAAATCCCAAAACCCTCAACCCTCAACCCTAAACCCTAAACCCTGACCCAAATCCCGGGGAAGCCCTCAGGAAAACGGACTTCTTTACAGGAGGTCAGGATGAGCAGGCCAGGTGTCAGAAGTTTTCTTGGGGAGGTCTCTAAACCCTAAACCCTTAAACCCTAAACCCTAAACCCTAAACCCTAAAACCCTAAACCCTATCCCCAAACCCTAAACTTCGGGGTTTAGGGTTTGGGGCTTGGGGGTGTTTGGGGTATTCGGGCTTCTGGGGTTCAGGCTTTTCGGTTAGGCTCCCTTCCTTTCTTCAGATCTTTCGGGGCGTTTAGGGTGTGGGTGTGATTTCGGTGTGGGTTTGCGATTTGCAGGATTTCGGGCTTCTTGTAGGGGTGTAGAAGGCATAGCGGGGTTTAGGGTTTAGGGCTTAGGGTCTAGGGTTTAGGGTTTAGCTGCTCCGAACAATGGTTGCAGAGACCTGCTGCGCAGTTAGGATGGCTTGCTTGATATGGGGGTTTCCGAAAATAGGGGACCCTAATATAGTAGCCTGAATAGTAGGGTCCCTATTATAAGGACTCCAAAATAAGGTACCCCTAATTTTCGGAGACTCCCATACAGCTTTCCACCGATCAGAGTTCGGAAGTTTCAAAACTTCGATTAGTCGTTGTCGTCGTCGGCCACAGGTGCTGCGGCTTCTTTTGATTACATTGGTGTGTTGGTGATGATAATGATACGGTGGTGCAGAGATACCACGGTCTAATGGGTACATGCGGCAACACAGACCAAGTTCAATATGAACATGCATGTAACAGCGGTCTTGGCTCAGCGATACTGCGCAACCGTACCAGTAGTGTTGGCCATACGTACAGTAACGAACAAGGCCATGGTGATGATAATGGTGTTGCAGTGTTGCTGCTGCAGAAGATGGTAATGTTGATGATGCTTTCGCGTGTTTGTCTGTCTGTTTGTGTGTGTTGCTTGCTTGTAGACCCAAAACCCTGGCCCTAATCCTTAAACTGAACCCTAAACCCTAAACCCTGAACCCTGCTGTTGAGCCCATGAGATCTCAAGCAACGAAACGCTCCCCTCAGACCAAGTCAGCACCCTTGTAAAGCGGAGGCCGCGGAGGAGAAGGTCTTGAAGTGCGCGAAGGGTTTTGTGTTTAGAGGTTTAGGGTTTGCGGGTTTAGGGGTTTAGGGTTTAGGGGTTTAGGGTTTGGGGGTTTAGGGGTTTAGGGTTTAGCGGTTTAGGGTTTGGGGGTTTAGGGTTTAGGGCCTAGGGTTTGAGGAGCTTAGAGGAGCTAGATGGTAAAGATGAAAAAGGACGGAGCACGCTTGTGAACTATATCTCTTGAAGTCTTGGAGGCATGGTGTTTCGCTTTCAGCTTCCTGCTGACAGCTGGGAGTGGACTTGCGGGACCTAAACCTTAAATCCTAAACCCTAAACGACTTCCATGCTTTGTGGTTCTTCGGGGTTCACGGACGGGGAGACTGTAAGAGTTCGGTTTCGGCGTAGAGTTTCGATGGGCTTAGAAATTAAGCGGCCCCGTTACTTCCGGAGTCTCTAAGTTTGTTGCAGGGGTCTAGGGTTTAGGGTGTTGGGGTCTTTGTTTTTTTTTGGTGAAGGGGGGGAAGGGAACCCTGAACCCTAAACCCTTTAGGGGTTGGGAACCCTAAACCCTAAACCCTAAACCCAAAACCCTAAACCCTAAACCCTAAACCCTAAACCCTAAACCCTAAACCCTTTAGGGGTTGGGATGACCAAGCCCGAAAACCCAAGTCGTTGCAAGTCCGAGGTACTACAAGAAGCACTGGAAGATGGGTCAGAAGCGGCGGCAGGTTGGGTTGAGTCTAGGGTTCGGGTTTAGGGTTTAGGGTTTAGGGTTTAGGGTTTAGGGTTTAGGGTTTAGGGTTTAGGGTTTAGGGTTTAGGGTTTAGGGTTTAGGTTAAGGATGCCATGCTAAGCCCCAAGCCCTGATCCTAAACCCCAGACCCCAGACCCTAAAGCCTCAACCCCTGTGAAATCTCGCCCTGAGCTTGGAAGCCTAAACCCCTAAGCCACTCAGACTCGATCTTCATGACATGAGGCTGGTCGAGGATATTGGATTTCGGATTGCAGGCTTTGGTTCTTAAGCCCCGAACCAACAAATCAAAAGATTAGGATCCTGAAGTTCCAAACCCTCAGAAATGGGACGAGAGGTTCGGGATTTCGGAGTCACACCCCTAAACCCTAAACACGAATTCTTCGAGGATTTTCTGAGATTCTGCAGGGTTTCATTTTTTAGGGGTTCGGGGCCCAGGGCCCAGTTCGTCGGTTCGTGAGTCCAAGTACAAGACCGGTATTTGTTCAGGTCTTAGGGTTTAGGGTTTA